TACTGTATGTAGTATGATTTTTCCCACATAATGTTTGACGCCAAGTGGTTTTTCAGTTAATAGAAGTTATATTGACAAATTTTATATTATTTAAAAAAAAAGAATTCTAAGCTGCAACCTTTGAAGCATTTTTAAAAAGAAAAGATGGCTTATTATTTATATTATTATCGAATGTTTTATGAATCATCAAAAGTGTCAAAAACTTTCATTGCCAAGAGTTTAGACTTATCCATGTTCTAAAAATAAAATTAACCAATAATTTAGCATGATTTATATTGTAGTATTAGTCAAGATTAATCCTAAAAATAATTAATTCTTTAAAATCTTTATTATTAAACAGTTTTGATTAAAAAAAAAATTCTAATAACAGTAAACATATAGCATTCAATTTCAAGAGAAAAGAAAATTTCGTAAAATACTTTCTCAATTGGAGATAATTGAAAATATCTTTATCAAAATATAATCCAATATTATTATAAAGAAATTTGATGGCATGAACATTTATAATAATCTTTGCTAATTTATTATCACCCAGTGGTCTGAGTAGCGGTGAAAGGAAAATGAATCGTTCACGATTAATTCTATTTTAATGATCATCACTTCGTTTAAAGTATTTATCCAATTTTTATTTTCAACAAACACAAAACAAACTTTCTTTATCAAATTATACGTAATGCAGACATCAATATTGTTATTGAACCGGTTTTATATGTTTTTATCTATCCAAATATCATACACTTGAATTTTATTTATTTACCATAATTCTATTTATCGCTATAGCCATGAAAAGAATCTTTTTTTCTAATTGAAGTGAATATGATCAAAGATTTCAAGAGGAAAAAGATATTAACTGCATGTTGCTACTCATCAGTGCTAGCTTGAATACTTGACTTTTGTTGATGTCATAAACACTTTATGAATAATCTCCTATTGTCAACTTTGAGACAAAAAACCTATATAGTTGTGTTAATAAAGAAAAAAAGAATTAAACTCTCAACTGTTAAGAGCAATAGAATGGATCAATTCTTTGTGTCGATCCAGGTATTTAAAATAGCAGAAAGCAAAAAGAAAACAGAAAGTAATCTCAATTTCCACTTTGAAATAGTTTATGCCAACAGTTTTCTATTTACAGTTTCAAGCTTAAAACCGCAGTTCTGTTTAAATACTGCTCAGAGAATACCAATGAACTTATATATAATAAATAAGTATTCAATAATGAAGACAAATGTTTATAGACATCATTTGATATCAGTATGGATCGAGCCATTAATCAATGTTACCTAAAGATAAAGATAGAATAACACTGCAGTTTTTTTTCTTCCTAATCTCACCAAACTTTGATACAGATTTATTGATTAGTTTCATATACATAATAATATCAAGTTCTTTTGAAAAACAAACAAATAAATCATCATCATCATCATCTAAATAATGTTCTAGATTCTGTATTTATATTTTTATTCTCATATTGTTTTTCTTTCTTCTTTTCATATCATGCAACATGAATATTATCATTAACTGCGCACTTAAGTCTAATCTCAACAATATTTCCGTTAATATGCTTTTGTGAATAATTACTGACCTCATTATAAAAATGAGAAATGTGCAATGTTTTTTTTTTCTTTCATCAAGAAATGAATCAGTAATTTTCTTTTATTAAACAAAAATTCACATTTTCATTTATCTCAGAAAAAAAAAGGCAAATATTTCCAGACAAAAACAAAATTCCATTAAAATGGTATTTATTTCCTCTTGGTTTTTTTTTCAAAGTCGTATCATATATAAAATAATTAACATATGCTACTTGATAATACTAGAAAATGGATCTTGGGTACAAATAAATAAAGAAACGGAAACGAAAAATAGTTAGTTCGTCCGCCTATATCCTGTACGATTGACGACTGGAATTGATTCGTTATTTTTTGTATTCTTTAAATGTCATAATAACTAGTTATATGATCGGCTTTTTCTACACTGTGTTTGTCGAATCATAAATTCAAGGACGATGAAATGTTAGAGAACAAAGTGAAAAAAAAAGAAAAAAAGGTTTTTCATACGGTGTTTACTATCGGAATTTTTTTCTTGTCTAATTCTTTATTCATTATCGCATTTAAAAACATGTTTAAAGGCATAAGAAGTCGTACCTAATCTAAAAAACATTTACAAAGAATGAGAAAAAAATAGATTGGTGTTGCACATAAAAGTATTTTATAATGAAAATTTGCGTAAATGAATGACTTGATGCTTCATTTGAAAATAATATTTTAATATAACTGCTTAATCCATGGTAGTAGAATAGCTTAGAATCAAAAGTCTATGAAAGAAAAAAACCCATACTAACATTTTCTAATATTGTGAATTCAATTTTCATATGTTTTCCCTTATATATATTTTATTGATATGGTTTCTATTTTCTATTGCCATATAACTTAGCTTGATTAATTCTTGAAAGAAAAATATTGACTTGGTAGTGAAATTAGAAAATAAAAGTAGGAAATATAAATTCATTTATAACTAAATCAATCATTTGGCCATTATATGGAACACTACTGCGTGACAGCAAGGAAGATAGTCTAGATAGATAACCTTCGTCTTAATAATTAAGGCTTTTAGTTCTATCAAATGACAACAAAAAAACAGAAATTCTTTCATATACATAAATGTTCTTTACGTTCTTTTTAAATTAATTATAATTTAAATAGTTCAATGACTTTTTATTGTTCTTGTTTATTAGACAAAGACTAAAAAAAACAGTATTTTGTTATTCATTTGATAATATTAATGATGGACTAATTCGATAAATATGACAAGATGACGATGATATGTGAATGATCAAATACATTTGTTATTTTTATTTGTATCATTAGACTTTGTTTCGTTCGAATAAACATGTGTGGATGAGTGGCATTGTCATCTACATTGAATATGCACACAGTAAAATCGATTATCAGTTTCTGATGGTGGCCTACAGCATTACGCTTGGTATCAAGTGAATGATAGATCGACTGCTGTGCACATAAACTGTTGACACATGGCTTAAATTACTGATAATAAATCTGTTGTTAAAGTCAAAGTGACTGCTGTTAGACAGAAATAAATACATGTATGCATCTATACAATGTAATATTAAATTGAAAATAATAAGATAAAGATGAACTAGCTCTGTAATATGTTCGAAGAGATATGTATTTTTTTCTACAATCAATGTCATGACAGTATATTATTTTTACCTTCTTTTTGTTCTTATTATTTTTTCAACAGAAAAGAGAAATGGTACTATCATGAGGAAAAGATAAGAAAGAATTGATGATCCTAGAAAGAAGAAAGCAAAGAAAAGCAAGAAGAAAAAAGAATATAGAAAAAAAGAAAAGAAAAGAAGATGGAAGATGGTGAATGAGATTCATTGGTATTCCGTCCTCACTTTCTTAAACAATAATTAAACACAACTCACCATGAATGACTCATTGAATCCATATTCCATTCCTAATCGTAATAATAACACTCAAATAACTGTCCGTCTTCTTTCAATCTATTCGCTTTTATTAATTTTAATTGGTACTCCATGTAATCTTCTTTGTTGTATAATTTATTTACAAAAAGCAAATCGTTTAAATTCAATAAAAACGATATTTGGTTATTTAGCTTTTCTTGATACAATTGTTTTATATACATTTAATTTAAATTATGTCTTTCGAGAATTTAATATGGACACTCCAAAACCTCATTTTAATAACAAATATAATAATAGTACGAATCCGTATCCAGATGAAAATGATAATATTAATGGTATTATTATTAAAAAAAATCTTGAAGAACGTTCACTATTTATCTGTCGGTTTCTATCCTATCTTGGTAAGAAAAATTAAATATAAGACTAAAATCCGATTCTTCATATTTATTTTAGCTTTTTCTACCTTACAAACGTCCTCATGGGTATTAGCATTTGGTTCATTTAATCGTTATTTATTAATAAAAAAGCTATCACATTTCGAATTTATTTGTAAACGACGGTATACTATAGCAATATGTTTGTTTTTAACATGTTCATTTTTTCTATCAAATTTGCATATACTTTGGATGAATGGTTACCATTCACCATATGGCAGTATTGTATGTTATAAAAATAAATATTATCCTAATTATATGGTTTGGTATCAACGATTACATTTGATTTTTTATTCAGTTTTACCAAGTATTATTTTATTTATATTTAATATACTTTTAATACGTATTATATTTGAAAGTAAGAAACGCTTAGATAATCATAGACGTTTAGTTTTGTTTGCTGCCGCAGCAACAACTACAATACCAACTAGTAAACGAAAAAATTTTCTTGCTATACAACAGATGTCATCATCAGCATTAAAACAAACAAATAAAACTAGTCCATCAAGATTACTTAATCGACATAGTCGAAAATTAACTATATCATTGATATTTATAACAATATCTTATTTTACATTAACATTTCCATCAACAGTTATTTTTTCATTTTTTCGTTCATATATTGAACCACCCGCATTAAGACGAACTATATCACTTCTATTTACGAATTTATCAACAACGACACATGCTATTCGATTTTTTATTTATTTTTTTTGTTCAACTGATTTTCGCAATGATCTCTATAATTTATTTTTACTCAAACGATTCTTTCGTCTCAAATCAATTAAAAAACAAGAACGAGAACGTCATACAACTTTACATCATACCACTCCACGTCAAACAACTGCACTTTATACAACTCCACTTCATACAACTTCATATCCTAATAATAGACAAATTGAATTTCAATTAATATCAAATAAATATCAGTTGGATGGATGATGAAAGAGAAAAAAAGAATAAAAAAGATAAGATTTATTGTTTACTGTTATATCGTGTTCGATATATTGGATGAATGTATGCATGTTATAATAGTCGTGTATAAACAGAAATGGTTCAAATCTAGTTCAAAAGAAAACATGAGTTAACAACACCAATTTTATTATTTTCTTCTCATTGTTAATGAATTATGCTTTGAATAGACCATTTCTCATTAATACGGAACACTCCAATATTCTCACACAATCTATCTCATTTTGAGATGTTATAGTACCTGACCTTGTCATCACATTTATGTGTTTCTATATATATATATATAAAAGAGCTCATCGATCTGCCATATCAGACAAACATTGAAGCACGTTTGATTCAGTGTGCTAGTGCACGCTCGCCTGCTCGTCAATAATCATTATCGAATCGCATGAGTATAGATGCATACATCGGAAACACTCGACGATAGAAAAAAAACGACGCAAAACTACAAATAACAAGCAAATACTTCTCTTCTATCTTTTTTTAATTGTTTTATTCTATTAAAGGACATATATTATAATTTTTTTATATCGATAAATGACAAAACTTATAATCAATTCATTGTTCAAATATATAATAAAATGAAAAGCAATGATTTTATTCATACTAGGTATTTCTTTATTGTCTCTAGAGAATTTATGTCGGTGTATTGTATTTGAATAACAAAGACAATAATACTATTACGCCTCATATTACTTCAACACCAACATTTATACATAAATTTTCTTTTTCAGAGAGATTTCCATTGATATAAAATAATATTATTAGCAATAATAATATTAATATAAGATAAAAAAAATATCTTTGATTCAATTCGAATAACAGAATTCATTCATTTCAGTTTTGCATGTTGATCCAAAAATTTTTTCACTAGCGCAACAAGAAATTATACGACAACAAGAACAAAGTAGATATACAGAGCACGAACGAAAGAGAAAAAAAAGAGAGAAACGAACAGTGTGCTACACATCGACATAAATCAAACAGACTTTTAGAGGTTCTTCTTCACATCACTGGGGTAATGTCATAGACATTTTTTTTTCTTGTTTCTTAGGCTTCCATTTTCATATTGGCACTATTATTATTGCTCCGCATTGTTTGTTGAATACGTCGGCGTAACTCATTGACTTTACTTTCTTGAGCACGAATATGTTCATCAGTAATTGTAACATGCTAAAAAAAACCAAAAGAATTTTAAATAAATACAATAATTTCAAAAAAAAATAAGAAATAACATACTTCAATTAATGGTTGATCACGTTGAACATAAATAGTTGGATTTTTTTGAAATTGTTTATTTTGACCAAAAAGTGCACGTGAATTACTATATAAATGAAGTGATGTTGCAAGACTTATGACAATCGTTTCGGGTGACATATTAAGACCGACACCTAAATGAATTTAAATGTAGGCAAACTAATTAAAGTTTTTTTTAAAGTTTTACTAAAAATATAATGAAAAAAAAAAGAGTTATTTTTAGATCAAAGAAGATATGGAAAAGCATAAAATATTAATTATTTAGATTGAAATTAAAAAAAAAGAATATTTTATTATTATATACTCATTGTTATTTTATAGACTTATAGATTAAAGCGCTTTTGTTTTTAAATTTAGATTGTTGAAAATAATCCTATGCCTTTATATGAATTAAATTCTTTAATTTTTATGCTAATCATAATTGAAAAGAAAAAAAAATATGATGTTTTACGTATGAAAGATATAGAAAAAAATTGTTTGTTCAGTAGAAATTGTTTTCTTCTATGCACCCTCATTTATGTAAATATCATTTGATTACATGACTATGTAAATTATTTGCTAATATGAACTCCTTGTATGTTCTAATAAAGAAAAAAAGATCTAGAATACTTGAAAGTATATTAGTCTAGCTTATAATGTTTTTTTTACAAGGTCAAAGAAGAACATGAAACTAATTTTAGATCATTTAATTTATAATACACAGAAAAGTAAAATTCAAGAAATTATATTGATAAAGCTTCTTTTTCATGACATCGAAAGAAAACGATAGTATTCATGATTTGATATAAAAAGAAAAAGTTAATATGACATTCATTTTAAAGAAAATGTAAAATTTAAATCGATTGTGTACAAAAGAATATGTAATGCTTATGAAATATACTATTGCATAACTATTTCAAGTTTTTTCTTCAAATATAAAGGAGATTATGCAAGTTATGACTCTTTTAAAATATCATCTATTATAAATTGTACTCTTTTCTTTTGAGTTAAGTGTACTTCTACAAGTTTGATTGATTTTATATTTCAATCATAATGTATACAATAATAAGTGGTTGAATTCAAGATTTTAATATACCTTTAATTTGTTCGGGTAATTTAAAATGTTCAAAAGGTTGTCCATCGATATCTGTTGGTCGTATATTTTGAAATCGTTTTTCCCAAAAAAGTTGTCTTGGTTTTGTTTTTTCACTTGGTTTTCCACCACTATTAGTATTTGTTGTTGTTGTTGAATTATTTGTATTAATAACTTGTGGTTTAACTTCATCACGCTGTGTAGGATAATAAGTAACTGGTTGTTTAAATATTGGTAATGTTTGTCTTAATGGACATCGTAAAGATGTATCACTTTTCGAACCTTAAAGAAAGGATAGCAGAACAGTTGAACTTTTGACAATTGAGTCTTCACAGATGAGGCTCTTAACATTTGAACCTTGGACGTTTGAGTCCCATATCAAGGGTAATCAATTTATGTTTTTAAAAACTTATTACATTCGAAAACAATCTTTCAAAAATTTAAATTTAAAATAAACTAAGAAAGTGTTGATGTAGATGTAAAGTTGGACGTCCATAAGTGAGAGTCAGGAGAACACATCCGTAACTTACACTCTACACTCAAGTGCCACACCTCTTATCTATGCCCAAACAGCAAATACTTGACCTGGAATTTTGCTTTCAACCAGATCTGCCTGTAGGAGTTAGGAATAGGGGTAGCATTTTTCTCTTATTTTATTTTGAATTTAAATTTTTGCTAATTCAATTTCAAAATACATTTAAATTTATTTTAAGTTTCAATGTATTAAAATAAATTTTATATTTAAATTTTTTAAAAATCATTTCGGGATTTAATAAGTTTTAAAAACATATATTGATCACTCTTCATATGGAGTTCAAACGTCCTAAGCTCAAATGTTAAGTGGCTCATCTCTGAAGGCTCAATTATCGGAGCTCAAATGTCAGGAGTTCAATTGTCTATGTATCTTAAAAAAGATTCATGATGCAAATACTATTAGTAAAATCTCTGCAGAATTAAAATATGACATACGATGCAGCTACTGTTGCTAGTCACAAGTGATGGCTTTATTCTATCTATTTTGAAACACATTTGTTTACTATCCTTTTATTGAATACTTCAAAAATGCAATAAGGAAGTAGTTCATACTAGAATGAGATATTATTGATTTATGGTCGGTGATTGTACATCAACAACATCTATCGTTGCCTGAGAACGTTCTTTGAATAGTATCTGTCAGAGCTATGAAGGAAGGGACAACAACGTGGACATCTGGTAAAAAATGAAAATGATAGCCTTTGCGATTTGAATAATGTCCGATATATTTTAGTCAATGATCGACATTTTGATTTAAAAAAAATTTATCCTAACTATTTAAGAGTTTGAAGAAATCCTAGGCCTAAACAATGGTCAAGATTCTGTCATGTTAGAGGAAAGTATCTTTTTCCAAAGAAATGAGAACGACTAACGGAATAAGTCATACAGATTCTGAAATTAGAACTTTTGTCCTATCATTCTATACGACAAACTTTGTTCTAATAGTTTCTGTGCTGGAAAAAGTATTCATGTTTTCTTCAACTAAGCCCTTTCTATCAAGTCATGTTCAACGTACTCAGTGCGCATACTTTATCACAGCTTCAGACTCAATAAAACTTTCATAAGAATGTTTTTCTCTGTCAGACACATCTACTCAGTTAGTATACAGATGCATAAATACTTCCGGACTGAGATATAGGTTTTCTAAAAAAACCTTGGTCTCTAAAGGTTGTCCACGTTTTTTTTTGTGTCAGAAGTACTTGAAGAGAACAACAAGGACATATCTGGAATCAGTACGAAAAACTGCATCGAATAATGTGTCATTTGTTAATTTTAAAATGGAAATTTTTTCGACAAACGTTCAGGATATAGATTTCCTCATACATGTTACATCGAAAATCTTCTTTTACGAATTTTATTTGTTTCATATTAATCTTTTGAGTGCTAGAAATTTATATTTCTACGAAAAAAATGCGCTTTTGGCAGAAAATAAGTCATGTCAACGTGCTCTATAAAAATTGCCCATTGTGGAATGTCCAAATTTTTACTCCTATACGTCAACAATCCTTTTCAATCGTGTTTGTCAAAAGAAATTAAAATAACAAGCAAAAAATATTACTAACTTCGAACCGCTGAATTTCCTTCATGAGATGTTGGTCGTACGCCATTTACATGACTAACTTTCATTTTTTTTGAAAGATTTTGTTGTTGAGATGGTCGACTTAATTTTGGTGCATGAGTATTTAATAAACGATTTGGACTTGATAACATTGTTGATGATGATAATGAATTTGTAGTTCGATCTGTTGGATCGTGCATAATGTATATATATATTTTTCTTTTTCTTTTGTTTAAATTCAATCTAAAATTTTCATTTAATCAATACACACAAAGATTTTATTAAAAATTCTTTTTATGAAGAAAAAAAAATTGAAAAAGATCGACATCATGAGTAAAAAAAAGAATACACGTACATTTAAACATACATACTCACAGAATTGAATAATACGGAAATTTATGGAAACAATGAAAAAATTTGTTTTTTTTGCTTTCCTTTTTCCTTTTTTTTTTTTTTTTTGATCGTGACTAGTGATTAGACTTGATCAATTGATTCATCACGTTTATGTGAATTCATAGTTGTCTGTTTTGTTGAACGTTTTTTTGATGT